AAAAAAAAAAAAAAAAAAAATAGATAGGACATATTATTACTTTTGTTTTTGTAGACATGGGGCCCATAGACAAAACATCAAATTTTTTTATCATCTGGTGACAAATTTGGGTTGTTTCCTAAATCATTTTAGAGACAGTTCACCAAAGTGGTTTTATTTCAGGACACATGATACGACGTCTCTGTGCTGTGATTTCTCATTCCTTTCCTCATCCCAGGCATAGACTGGGTCCCCCACACTCACTGCTGATGCCCCAAAGTTCTAGATCAAAGAGTAGCACATTTTAGGAAAACTCATCAACACTTTTTGAATGAAAATGATTCCCCACTTGCAACTAGGGTATGGCAATGATGTTGAACTAACATTTCTAAAACTGTTCCATAGAATACAGTTGGCCCCAGAGAGGTTAAGATATCTCCCCCTGCAGGCCCTGCCAAGAGATGCTACGGCATGTTAAATCTGGCAAACACTAGGCTAGCAAAGTCAAACCAGTTTATTTATTCTCTAGGCCTCCTGTATATGAATCGTCAAGAAATCCTACAGCGCATAACATCTGCCCAGCCTAACTTGACCACAGAACACTTTTCTCAGTGACACTAATCGTATCTCACTGGACTCCAGTGTCATATGAAGTATGATTCGGGAGAGGGAACTCCACACTGCCATTAGCCATTTGCTCGTTGGTGTGAGCTGGAGGTGCTGAGTGCAGGTTTGAATGAAGAGGAGGGTCAAGGGCACGGCCTTGCATAGATGAGGGGGAGAGAGGAAGGTCTAAAAGGCTGAAGATGGACTGCACGCTTCCCACAACTGCCTGGGGCAGCTGGTGGCATTCTATAGTCTGGGGCCCATGTGGACCTGTGCTGGCAACATGTGGCCTGACGGTGTATGCCTGTTGATTGACCTGGGCTTTTTCTTTGTTGCCAAGGCTACATCCGCAACACAAGCAGCATCTCTCCGCGGGGATACTCTTCCAGCTCCACGCCTCAACAGTCTAACTACAGTACCTCCAGCAACAGTATGAATGGTTACAGCAACGTCCCCATGGCCAACCTGGGTGTTCCAGGATCACCAGGATTTCTAAACGGCTCACCCACCGGCTCTCCTTATGGAAGTAAGTGACCTCTCCATGCCTCTGGCCCTCCATGGCTTTCTGTCTCTGGCCTTGACTACTCAGCCTTTTGGGAGAAAGTTGCATTTGTAAATCTTCCTAACTTGTCAGGGAGCAGCCTAGTTTCCTGATGAAGCGTCCTTCCTGCTTTTTGTTCTTTTCTCTTAGCCGGACTTTGGCTTACGTGGTTACTCAAGGCCTTTTGGGGAAAGAAAAGGATTGAAACAATTCCCTTTTTACAAAGAAAGAGCATGTGTGGCCTATGTAAGTGGGAGCAAAGAATTAAGATTCCATTTCAGTTAACAATATGTGTACTCTTAGGCACTTGCAGATGTAATATTAAATCTCCATAAGAACTTTCCGATAAGAACTTTATCTTTATGCTATAGACAAGGAAGTTTGATTTCACTGCAGTTTTCTGACTTAAGATCACATAGCTAGAATAGAGCAGCTTAATAATTTGGGCATAGACTCGATGACTTTGAGTTATTTTGTATATCGCACCATGCTTCTTTTTGACTTTGCGACCTGGTTTTCCCCTCCCTTCAGTACCTCCAGAGAGGTGGAAGTTGACTGCATGCAATCGTGTGATATATTGAGACAGAACCTTTTCATGTTAATCTGTGGTCTAGTAGCAAAGTCCCTGCTCTGGGAAGTTGTGAAAACCCCACTTGTGTTGCCTTGGGAGGTAAGGTAATGCTGGAAAGTTACACAATGGTCCCAGGAGCCTGAGAGAGTACAGTTTTCAAACCTACCCAGGGAATACTTTAGGCCAGGGGACAAGCTCAAATGGAGAGGCTGAAGTGATCGAATAGAGTGTTCTTGAAATGCTGGGTCTTGTTGCAAGTCTGCACCTTGCCCTCTTTTCACCCAGTGTGGTTTCCTTGTGCCAAGAGCAAGGACATGTCAAGGGCAGCACACAGCCATGTCCACCATAGCCTAGGAACTGACATGTCACAGAAGCTGCCTTTCATAGTCTTTGGACTTTTGGTTCCCTGGGGACACATGTATGAGTTATTTCTGGATTATCGGTTGGATTCATACACTCTACATGATGAGATAAAGACACAGCCAAGCAGCAGAGGGTAGTAGAGGTCAGTTCTTCTAGTACAACGAAAATCTTCTTACTGCAAAGACATGAATTTTGTGTTGTGTCTTGTCAGATGACCCAAGTTAATTAGATAACAGTGTTCTAGACAAATAAATGATTGCTTGACTTGTTTTTACCTTATCTTGTTCCAAGAAGTGTTTGGGGGAATTCTCGCAGTCAGATAGGTAATATGAAAGTATAAAACAGGGTCTAACAAGAAAATACGCTAAAAGAAACAAATATGGCTCAGGAAATTAGATAAATGCCAGGGCAAGCATTAATGCCATTTCATCTATTCAAGGGAGCCATTTATTTCGTTTTGAGTTTACAAGAGGCTAAAGCAAAGAGAGAACCACTATTTGTTATAAGATTTTATGTCCACACATTATTTTTCAAAGTAACTCAGATGAAATGTGGCTATTTCTGTCACTGAGATGTTGGGGAGGTCTTTCCCATGTTTCTTCCTGGAGAGGGTGTCTGGTGTGGTAAAGAGACCGCATCTTTAACAACTCCTACAAATGATGCAATGGCAGGAGATCCATTGTGTAAACAGTGTTACAATAGGGACATCAATAAGATTAATTACATTCCACTTTACAGCTTAAAAAGCATGTTGACATCTAGAGTCCGGTCAGAACCTCACAACAACCTTGTGACATAGATACAATCATCATCATTATCTTTCCCTTGTAAGAGATGAAGAGCTATTAAATAACTTCATAGCCAGTAAAAAAAGGGACTAGATCACATCATCACACTCAGAATACTATGTCTTTAAATTATTCAATAATATAAGAAATATTTAATGTATTTATAGTGTAATATTAGGCTAAACCATGTGAAATTCCCTCTATTTGGCCATTTTTGGTCTACAAAAGTGGAACTTCCTAATTTATGTATGTATGAATGAGGTTGAATCAGTTGTTTTTGTACATAAAAAATGATCACTTTTATAATACAGTATGTGGTGTGGTAGTGAAGAGGGTGGAGAAGAAAGGAGAGAAAAAAGATGAATGAAAATATACAGTTAGGTGTTAATTGCTTAATATTTCTTCCTAAATAATTCATTTGGTAGAGAGAAACTCTTTCCACTCCCATCAGTGACAACTTCCTTCTACTGCTATTTCATGATCACTCAAACCCACTACCACAAGAAAAGTAATAACCAAATTACCAATTAAAATGAGATGGTGGACACAGAATAGAAAAAAGAGGAAGGCACCCTGCCCAACTGGGAGAAGGAAAGAGAGACTGGAGAACTCCTCCCTGTACCTGCTGGATCTGGTATGATGGCTTGCACCTTCACTTTTGAAGGGAGGTTCTGAAAGAGTTGCAAGATAGCCATGAAATTCCAAACAGTGCATTCATTACAATCAACTTCCCCTACTCCAAAAATACTGAATACCCAGTGGAGTTCATTACAATAGCACCTGACCTGTATTTCTAGCTGGCCAAGTCTTTACTTCTCTGGGAAATACAAGAAGGAAAAGCCCAAGGGAAAACCTTTTGTCAATTCAGTTGCTTGTGTCTGAAAACATAATTCTATGATTTTTTTTTAATGCATCTGATGTGGCTGGACCATGCCACAGAGCAAATACTTGCCAGAGACACTAAAAAGGAAAGAAATAGAGCCAAGCTTCTTGGTCAAGTTCGACTTGCATGACAGCCTATGTAGAGTATCAGAAACCTGCATCTTTACTGTTTTTGCTCTTGCACTACTTCAAAAAATGGCCAAACAGATGTTTTTTCAATCTTACATACAAACTTCACTTCCTGGCAGTAGCAGCGTGCCAAGTTCCAGCTCAGTGCAAGTTTTTATAGCCGAATTCTAAACTCCTGACAATAGGGGGTTATAATGAAATGCGGACAGACCCCTTAGCTCCAAAAAATGCAATGGCTCAATGCAAAGGAGGATATGTGCCCATAGTCTCAGTTCCAGCTGAGACTATGCAAGCCAATCAATCCTTGTACAAAGAAAAGTGGTTTTTCCTTAACTCCCCATGTTCACACAGATTTCTGGGCCAGACGTACTTGCCTTTGCTTTGGCCCCTATCCATAGAGAGATAGATGTCCAGAGAAATTCTCAATTGGAAGTACATGTGATCAACTTTCCTGAAATGGTTCTCTCTGCAGTCCCGAAAGATTGTCTATTTAACAAGCTGGTAACACCCATGGGGACCACTTCTTCCAAAGCAGAATAGCCACCAAGCCTATGCAGAGTTTGGGACAGAATCCATACAGGCAGGAATCCAACCTGTCCTCATAGATTCCTACATTACATTCAGAGTCTTAGACCATGTTCTGGGCTTCTATCGTTTTATTTTGAATGTATAATTCAAAAATATTAAGACATTTTTCTATAGTAAAATATTAAAATTATAGAAAACATAGAACATATGAAAATAATTTTTAAAAGAAAGCAGACTCCCACCATAAGAACCACCTCTTTGAATTCTGATATATTTCTACTTCTTCAGAAAAGAAAACCTACTAAAATAGTAATATTCTCATTACAGACGTCTTGAAAAGCACACAGAAGTAAAAAGGAGGAAAGAAAAATGGCACACTCTGTGTCTATGCAGAGGTAACCATTGTTAATTTTTAAAGGATAGCCTTCCAGTCATGGATAGATACATTTTGAAAATTGCAGTGTCTGCTCTGATGCACAACTAATGAGATTTTGCCATAAGATCAATGAAAGAGAGGGTGGAAGAAAAGCAGTAAAATTACCAGAGTCACAGAGAGGAAGATGGGCTCCCTCAAATCCATCAGTGATACAGGCCCGGGTCCTAAGAATGGGGAACAGACATATGAGGGGTGATGTGTGCTTTTAAAAGTTGACTGCAATTATCAAGCGTCTTCCAGGAATGTGAGGATTTATTTGTCTCTTGCTTTCTTGGTGGGGGCAGGTAGGGAGTGGTGTTGCAGTGTGTAACAGACAACTTTGTGTATAGGCAGTAAGTGAAAGAGGAAAGTTAAAGTTATTTTTAAATGCCATTATGCCTATTGCTAAAGATTATATTATTTATTTTTACCAAAAGAAATAGAGATTTTGTCTTTTTTAAATGTAATAGCCTTTACTGGTTTCTCCTACTGTGTATTAAAAATAATACACTTGTTGGCCGGGCGCGGTGGCTCAAGCCTGTAATCCCAGCACTTTGGGAGGCCGAGGCGGGTGGATCACGAGGTCAAGAGATCGAGACCATCCTGGTCAACATGGTGAAACCCCGT